GCTCAGCCTAGTAATTTAGCTTAATAGGTCCCTGTGTTAGCTATCTTAACTAGGTGATTCAGCTTTAACAGGTCTAAAATATATATATAGTAGGGTCATTCAGATGTAGGTAAAGCTTTAGTTAGTAACTATATATATAGTAGAGTCATCTAGATCTAGGGAGATATTTAATTTATGAATATATATTTACATATAATATATATAATAAAGGAAATAAATATATTTAACTTATACTAGCCTAGTAATTCTATAATTATCTAGACCTATCTAGGCCTATCTATTATATCTAGTAGAATAAGATATACTAAATCTATAAATAATAGGGCCCCTATTCTACAAGGGATGGAGCGATGAGGGCTCATCGCTATTAGGGTCGAAAATTTACAGTGTGCTGATTGGCGGAAATATTCCTTGGCGGTGCTGGGTGGAATTGATTTCAAGGGCTCATCGCAATTAGATTCTATGGGTGTATCATCCTGAAAATTTCATAGGTAGTATACCTAGCCTTTATTAATAACTGGATCAAATTTCAAGAGAATCTGACATAGAATAAAGAGATGGTTTGTGGTTAAATTCTACATAATCAACAGCCTGATTTTCGTGGGTGCGGCGTATCCTACAAAGGATAGAGTAATAAGGGCTATTATAATTAGATTCTACCATCATAATTAGATCCTAAGGTGTATCATCCTGAAATTTAATCGGTAATATACCTGGCCCTTATTAATAACTAGATCAAATTTTAAGAGAATCTAACTTAGAATAAAGAGGTGGTTAGTGGTTGAATTCTCATCATTAATAGCCGGATTTTCATCCAGGTGCAGCCTCACGAGACTAACCATACCTTAGATTCAGGGGTAAAGATGTTTCTGTATCTTACTCATTCATCACTATTCATTCATGACTATCCATTCCATCCTTACTATCATGGAAAATCAATTATTTCATCAGGTGCCTACCTTAGGTATTCTTATCTGCCGTCAATGCAAGCATGGGGTACGACTAACAGAGGTTGAACAACATCTAAAGAAGAAGCACTCCCTAAAAGCATGCAGTTGCAATCCAGATCACTGAGGCAATATCTAAATAGCAGGATATTCAGTATGATAGTAGCACTATCCAGATACCTCAAGCATTAGATGAGCCGCTGCCTATATTACCATCTCATTCTGATGGCCTGCGCTGCCTGCGTGATCAAACCAAATGCCAATATATACGCAGCAACAATTAAATCTATGCGAAAGCATTGGCAGGTTGTTCACCAGTGGTCCCAGCAGAGTCATCGCGGGCGGGTTAGCCAGAAGGAGAAGGCTAGGGGTGATACTGAGGTGCAGCAGTCATTCCAATATGTCTCATGGCAGCAGGTGTTTCCTAGTGGTCCCGGTCCCATTATATCCATATTTGATATCCAGATGGAGTCCCCCCGCCCCCATCAATCCAGCGCGTGCAGGCTGCGGTAGATGAGGTGGTGCAGGCGTGGGAGCAGGCGCAGGCCCGCGCTCAGGCCGATCAGGCGATCCAGGCGAGCCAGTTGACTGACGCGAATCCCTGGCTGCGGATGACTCGGTGGGCGGACTATCTGCAGGGTATCCAGGCGCATAACCTACTTGCCTGCGTGGCAGCCCCGGAGGAAGATCCCCAGGATGCCACTGAGCAGTGCGTGCAGGTGATCTGGCATACAATGGAGCAGGTCGCCCGCAAGAGCCAGCAGACGGTCTAGGCACTGCGGCCAGGCCATTCAGGTGGAAGCAGTCCAGTCTGAAAAAGGACAGACACCATACCAGCTACTGCTGGCGTATATGGATGAGGCGGCATCCAGAAGCATGTCCATCCATGGCAGCAGATATTAGCATTCATTGCCGCATGCAGGCGCCGCATGACTGGATAAGTCCAAAATATGGGATGACTGTGCGGCAGCGCCAGAAATGGCAGCAGCTGTGGCAGCTTGCTAGCCAGGCCGCAGTTCCAGGGGACCGGGAGGTCTCGGAGGACCTAGAGGTATGGGTGATGACCATGATAGAAAAAGCATGCTTAGAATTTTGCATTAAGCTGCTTAACCAGCGCCATCGCAGTCATGAATATGAGAGTGCATTAGTATGCGCCATGGCGGTGCTCAGTCAAGGTGAGGCTAGCTAGCAGCGACCCTAAGAGCTACCCCCCAATATTATCCCGCGTGATCAAGGTGGCCCGATTCATAGTGGTCCAGAAAGCACTATAGATAGACCCAAATCCATGGCAGATCATTCAGACCTGGATACAAAAGGACCAGAGCACTGAATGGGTGCTAGCTAGCGCAGATGATCAACTTAGGGAGATTAATAAGGGATATAGCAGTGATGACCCCCATCATCACCACCATCATCGCCCCCATCATCCATCCCATAGCGATGATCCATTACCCGCAGTCAACATTCGCCCAGAGCCGGCGACCATTCCAGGAGCAGGTGACATGGATGATGCACCAGTTTATGATCTGTGGGACACATGGCCCCATGGAAAACATTGCTAGACTAGCACACATATGGATTAAAGGTCCATTATAATCATACCGCGCCCGGACATGTGACATGGATAGGCGAGGACCAGTTATTATACCAGCAGATGGCGTTCACGATGGGGGATTTTCAGGGATTCATCCATGGATTAGTAACTGCAGCAAGGGAGATACTAGGCCATTTATGCATGCAGGATCATGCGCAGATGCCTACCATTCCCTAGACAGCATTATATGACGATCCCAGCCAGAGCCAGGCAGGGTGGAACTTTCTGCACAATGCACGGACCCAGTGGCCGGTGGATGGGACCCACTAGATGATCAACTGGCTGCGGGCCGAGCCGGTCATGCAGCGGCATTTTCTGCGGGGCAGCTAATTCCACCCCACCACCAATCCAGCAGTATTGGCAGCGCGTGGCCCAGTTTAAGGAGAAATTAGTAATTATCATGCATGTCACTGCAGGGCAGCCCGGCCCAGGCCCCAGAGTTATTAAGCATTCAGCATTGCCAACACAGCAAATAGTCAACAGCGGAATATATATATCAACGGATGGCATGGTGACATTTGTAACAGCATATCATAAGGGATTCCATGCTAGCAATGATATCAAGATCATCCATCAATATGTGCCGCAGGAGGTCGGGGAGTTAGTAGTATAGTAATATATAGCTGGTGATAACCATTCATTAATCAGTTAGCTGCATGGCAGCGGCGCAGGCGGCGCAGGGAAAGTCAGGCAGCGCAGGGAAGTCACACCAAGCAGGGAAGTCACGCCGTGCAGGGAAGCCAGGCCGCGCAGGGAAGTGATGCACACAGGGGAGCCAGCCCACGCAGGGGAAACCAGGCCATGCAGGCATGGTTATGGGGCCCCAACCCCAGTACTGGCCGCGAATAGTCGTCTGAGCGGTTCCGGGAGGCGTTGAAACAGGAAACCCACACCCAGCTAGGCACCACCATCCATATCGCCGCATACCGGGACATCACCATTGGCATCAGCCACTGATTTTTGCGGCCGTCCACCGCGTTCCCCCATAATATCCAGGAGGCCGAGCCGGCCCAGCTGCCATGGATGCTGATGCTAAGGAGGGCATGGATATCAAGCAGTGGATAGGCCATATTACTAATTTACAGGCCGCCCATTCATCACACGTTGCCGGCATGGTATACTGGCCGTGTCATGCAGGAACAGGCCGGCAGCACAGCCCACCAGCAGGAGATGTTCCAGTTATCCAGCACCAATTAGCATCCAGTTTTTAGGGTTTAGCACCCCGGGCCACCTATCCATATTAGGCAAGCGCAAACAGGCCCCGTGGGAGGATGAGGCTGAGGTCAGCCGCATGGAACGCCGCCACCAGCTGGCCACTATAGATCTAGAGGCAGCCGCGCAGCACATGACTGGGCGGCCCCGACATGCGGTTCCGGGGGTGCAGGGACCCGGCAATGCAGGGCCATCCAGCGGGGTGAGAGCCCTGTGGTGGCGGTGATGCCCACTAGTAGGGGAAGAGCATGCTATTCATGGTGCCCGCGTTCACCGCCCCCAGGGGCACCAACCATTGTTGTGGTGCCACTCATTTGCATTAACAGGCTGATATGACCAGGCGCTGCCAGGAAGCCTCAGCATATCATGTGTGCCATGGGAGAGCCGGCAGCCCCCCAACAGTGCCGCATCCCATCATGTTAGTGACGCCTAAATCCGCGGTGAGCCCTGATTTCCAGACATTTTGAACCGGCTGCGGTGGACCCGGCGGTTAGACCGATTGTGATCAATAAATGCCATGTGGTGTTGAATTCCCAACATAATTTCCAGCCCCAGATGGCTCAAGCTGGGCTGGTTGGTCCCAGGCCCGCACCCAGATACGTATGGTTAACCGCCACATTGCCCCGAGCATGGAGGCTAAATTATGCCAGCAGATGAAGTATGACCAGGCCACCATGGACCATATACCGGGCCCAGACCAGCTCCGGCCGAACGTGGCATACCAGGTGTGGCAGCCAGACATGACCAGGGTGGGCCGGGGCCCTATATCAGTGGATATAGAGTGAAGGTGGTGGTAGCATTCATTCAGGACCACATCCGACAGGCCGCTGGGGGGAAAGGTGATTATATATGCAAATATCATCCAGGCAGGTGACGGCCATGGCGCAGGTGCTTAGGTGCAAGGCATATTACAGCGAGCAGTTGGACAAGGCCGGGGTAGCTGGCGCGGTTCATAGGGGCCAGCCCAGTGATCGCCACCACCAGAACGCGTTAGGCATGGGGGTGGACAATCCCCAATATCCGCAGCATCATCACCATATTGGGACCCCCTGGACATTACTGGATTACGCGCAGGAGAGTGGCCGGGCTGGGCGAGATGGACAGCACAGTGAGGCAATCATTATCCAGCCAGCTGGGTGGGATACCCCAGCTCCATGGATGGAGGGCGTCGCCCCTAAGGACCAGGAGCAGGTTGCTGAGTATATAGGGGTGGTAGAAGGCATTGGGTGCCACCAGGTCATGTTAGATCAGTATTTGGATGGAGTTGGTGGATGGGTATCAGCAGCAGTATTACCAGCGATGCGGATCCCAGGGAGCAGATATGTGATGGGTATGATCCCAATTAGGCAGAGCTGGAGGTGGATCCAGCCAGGGTTGGTAGCAGCCCAGTGCCGGGTGAGGCAGCCCCAGAGGCCCATGTGAGGCAGGCAGCGAGCAGGCAGCGAGGCAGGCAGCGAGGCAGGCAGCAAGGCAGGCAGCGAGGCAGCAGTAAGGCAGGCAGTAAGGCAGGCAGTAAGGCAGGGAGAGAGGCCAGGGAGAGAGGTAGAGAGAGAGGTAGTCAGAGAGGCCCCATGCCAGGCAGGTAGCATGGTAGCAAGAGACGGAGAGCCAGAGAGGCACCATACAGGGTGGACTGCCCCACCATCAGGCAGTCCCACCCCATCCAATAAGTCATTTTGCAGCCAGCCATCCATTCCCATGGCAGTATGGCACACCCCAGCAGTGCACAGGCCCAGCAGTGGGCGCCATGGATATCCAGCAGCAGCAGCATCGACCCAGCAGGGTTTGGATGAGGAGATGGCCCAGGCCAAATGCATGCAGTGGCAGGACCAATGTTATATATACGCCATGCAGGGGGTGATGGTGGCCATAAGTTATATGCATGTCATCAGCCCCACAGCCAGGCCGCACGGGCATGGATGATCCACGTGCATCAGCAAGTGCAATACACGCCATATAGCGCGTGTTATTCATGCGGTATGCCCCAATCCATATGCCATGGGTGGGAGCCAGGCCACGCATGCAAATACCGCGGGTTTTTGATCCCCATGGTGGCCATGATGTTATTCAGGCCATGGCAGGGCCAGATCAAGCCCATATGGCAGCGCTGGTTGCAGGGAATGGGGGTTGATGGGCAGGATGAGGCCCAGGTAGTCCAGTTTTTAGGGCAGGCGCACCCCAACCACAAGGGGCACAGCCAGTTATTTACATCATTTTATTGGTTATAGCAGTTATGTCAGGAGATCAAGGTCGATCAGCATTGATATATTAGGAATGAATATATATTTTAGTATACCATAATGCGCAGAGATATATATTATACAGTTAGTTTATATAGTATGTTAGCTGAATTAGTGGTTTATACATATGCATATATATAATATCAACCATAGTTATGATAGACATAGGTAGTAGGTAGGGAGGGAGCAGAGAGACAGTAGGTAGAGTAAGGTAGGCAGTGAGGTAGACAGGAGGTAGATAGGAAGGTAGACAGGGAGGTAGACAGTAAGGTCATGCATGAGGCAGGCAGCAAGACAGGCAGTGAGGTAGACAGAATGGGAGGCAGAATAGGAGGCAGAATAGGATGCAGAAGGGCAGGTCAAATAGCAGGGAGAACAGCAGGCAGTGAGGTAGTGATTAGGATAGCAAGCAAGGTAGTATAGTAGATTATAAGGCCCCAGGAAGGTCATGCATGAGGCAGGCAGAACAGCAGGCAGAAAGTAAGACAGGTAGTGGGGTAGATAGGAGTAGACAGCAAGGTAGACAGCAAGGTAGACAGCGAGGTAGACAGTGAGGTAGACAGCAAGGTAGACAGCAAGGTAGATAGCAAGGCAGGTAGTAAGATAAGCAGTAAGGCAGGTAGTAAGGTAGGCAGTGAGGCAGGCAGTGAAGGAGGTAGTAAGGCAGGTAGTAAGGCAGGCAGCATAACAGGCAGTAAGACCAGCAGGAAGAACCCAGTAAGATAGGTAGTATAGTAGATAGTAAGGCAGGCAGTGAAGCAGGTAGTAAGGCAGGTAGTAAGGCAGGCAGCAAGACCGGCAGTGAAGCAGGCAGTAAGATAGGTAGAATAAGGCCCAGGTAGTCCAGGTGGTCCAGGGTTTTAGGTTAGTGCATCCCAACCATGAGGGGCACCGCCAGTTATTTATATTATTTTATTTAGTACAGCAGTTATGTCAGGAGATCAGGTTGATCAGCATTAATATATTAATAAATGAATATATATATTTCAGGATACCATAATGCGCAGAGATATATATTATACATTTAGTTTATAGAGTATGTTGGCGAATCCATAGTTTATACGCAGGGATATATATATAAGTGACATATCAGGGAATATATATCATATTAACCATAGTTAGGAGAGAGGTAGGTAGCAAGGTAGACAGTAAGGTAGATAGTAAGGTAGATAGTGAGATAGGCAGTGAGGTAGGCAGTAAGGCAGGCAATGAGCAAGGGGCAGCAAGCCAGGCAGTGAGTGAGGGGGGCAGCGAGCAAGACAGGCAGTGAGCAAGCCAGTTAGTGAGTGAGGGAGGCAGTGAGATAGTAAGCTAGA